CAAGAAGCTTGTGACCAAAGAGGGAAGAAAGGTGCCCGGCTACTGTAAATGTTTTAGCATTTGCAACCATCTTTGAAATGGGAGAGAAACGGGTGACCTTTAGTGTCCAAGCTGAGCCCTGGTGCTCAAAACTGTGGGCTATGGGCCCGCAGGAGCAGCCGTGCCTACAAGCCTGTTAGAAATGCAGAACTCTGAACTTGGCACTGACCTCCAGTCAGGGTCCGTGATTTGGTTGGATCCTGTGCACACGGCAGTTTCTAAAGCTCCAGAGTCCATGGAAGCAGTGAGTCCTGGATGTTGTAGATGAACAGAAAGACAAGGAGCAAAAGCTGTAATACTAACAGATAAATCATTTACCAGGAGTTCCTTAAGGGGGTACTCTCCTCCCTCAGCCACTTTCTTGAGCCTATTATTATTATTATTAATTTTATTATTACTATTAATGAATGATTGCCATAGAAGCATTCAGTGACTTTGGGGTGTGTGCAAATGATTTTAGTGGCAAGACTGAGCATGACAGGGTCTGTCTGAGACAAAGACATGAGAGAGAGAGAGAAAGAGAGAGAGAGAGAGAGAGAGAGAGAGAGAGAGAGAGAGAGAGAGAGAGAGAGAGGCGTCATTATAGGTAATGTTAAAGGACACCCCACAGGGGCGCTGGAACTTCGGGAATGATTCACTTTCCAAATCAAGCCAGCTTGGCTATCACCACTTCTGGTCACTTATTACCTCCAAGTTACACATGGCCCCGGAAATGACAAGGAGGTTCCCCCCCACACACACCCCGCTTCCCCTTCCTGTTTCAGCATAATCGGTGGCTGGTTGCTGATTGATCCCCTTACCAGACATGTGGACTGCAATGCTAACCATGTGAACTGCACTCAGTTCAACAGTAGTTTCCATTTTACAGTTAGGGTGCATCAGGCCAGCACGTCCGTGCTGCTCCTCACTCCCTACCCCAGTTCCAAACAGGGTAGAAGCCTGTTTCTTGTTCAGGTGCGGCCAAGGACAAACAATGGTAATTCAGACCAGGAAGTGTTGACGTGTAGTCTGCTACCTCACCCCTTCCTGCCACCCTCCCCCGAGGTGGAGGCTCTTCTGTTAGTTCCAGTTCCTCCTGAGGAAACTGAGGCACGTTCCTAAGAAGTTGCGTGACCTTGACAGTGACTGGTGTGAGGGAAGGGGAAGTAATAATATTGGACAAGCCCGTCAGCTTATTTCTCCTGCCTCCTTCAGAGCACCCGAGAAAGGAAGAGCCGGCCCTGCCACAGAGCATGGACTCTTGGTTAGCCTGATGGGAAAGGAGGTATGGATGGAGCCTTGCTTCCTTCCAGATCCTTCTCTGCATCAACTGCAGGGCCTGACAGGGTTTCTGTTCCCATGTCGAAAGGGGGTAATTGTAGGTAGGGACATACCAGCGTTAAAAATGTCGGCATAAGTTAGTCCTAAATGCAACAGGAGTCAGCAAGTGGCTGTTTACGTGTTGACTGCCAAGCGACAGGCTTTCTGTGTTCTTCAGAGGGCGCATTTCCTCCCCAAACAGGCAAGCAACTTTCGTTTCCACTTCATGCGGATGTCTTACCATTCGTGTCCTGAAACGTCTCCACGGTTTGGACAATCGGCTACAGCTGGCTGCTCGGACACTGGCCTCCAGATTAGAGGCGGTTGAATTAAAGTTCTTAAATTCCCATTTTTTAAAAAATATTATAAAGTAAGCTTTTTATTAATTAAAAATAGATATTTTATACAAAATTTAAAAATTCAATTAGATAACATAAAACAAAACAAAAAATCATGTAGGTAAAAGTCAAATCATTTTTAAACTCTATGTTAGGAGTGTGTGTGTGTGTGTGTGTGTGTTTTGTCCTGTGGCATTGGGCATGGATCCTTCAGACACAATGGAGATGGACAATTTATATTCAGAGTGTGTTTACGGCTCCAGTATCCAAGACGATTCTAATTAATCTGGATAGAATTCACCCGAGGCCCCACTTGGGATCTGAAAGAACTCGAGCTGTCCTTAGGAAATGTACCTTGTGCTGTGTGTGGTAGCGTGTGCTTGGGGTCCCAGCACTCCGAAGGCTGAGGCAGAAGGATTGTAATTGTGTTCGAGACTGGCCTGGGCTACACAGAAAAGTCTGAAGCTAGCCAGAGCTACAGAGAAAGATCTGTTCTCAGCCACAAAGCTGGGAGCATACTATCAGGCTGATACAGCTTGAAAGCTTTTACACAGCCCCCCCCCCCCCCACAAAGCCTTTCTCCATTCTTTTGCTACTTAGTTTCCTATATGTTTAATGTGTTTTCAGCGATAAGTGGAGACGCCAGGGAGGTAGACAGCATCCCTGTTTATATTTAATTGGGGACAGTAGATACAAGAACACCAAGACTGCTAGAAAATAATTAAATAATAGTTGATAAGTAGGATGTGGTCACAGAAAGCCGGGGGTTGGGGGGATAGGGAAGAACAGGATGTCACAGCCCAGAGGGCTGACAAAGGAGCCAGAAAGACCTGCAAAGCCTATGCAAGGAAAACAGTGAGGTAGGTAGACCAAGTCAGATCCCACCTAGTTCTGTTTTCATAGTCACAGGAACAGCGGAAGGCTCACTGGGGAAAAGAACAAGACAGTGACCTTCAGAGACCTCTGGAAGGCCAGAGGATAGACAGAGACTAGAACTCTGGAATAGGATGGTTACAGTTGCACAGTATAAGGAAGAATGAGAAAATGTAACAGTGGCCAACGTGAGTGCCAACCTGGAGAGAGCAGTCCTAAGTGTCAGCCCTGAGCCAATGGGGAAGAGACCTCGGGTAGAATAGTGGGATGGAGCTCAGGAGGACAAGAAACAGCTTCTGCATCCGTGAGGAGGAAGGATCGGGAGACAAGAGAGCCCGGGCTGCAGAAAGAGTCAGGAAGAGCTTCCTTGAGCATGGTGCAGTCATGGCTCCGACCAAAAGATAATGTGTCAGAGAAACCGGCTTCTTCTCACTCTGGTCCTCTGATACTCCTCTGTGTGCCTCACCCAGAGCCAATACTAGGTTTCCATTCCCACACTTGGATCTCTGGAAATGAAAAGGCCGAGGCTTTCATCTCCCTGTGGACGACAGCAGCCTTAGTGATCCTTTCCATGGTGTGGTGAGATGTGTGAGATCCTGCCAATGTCCTCTAAAGGGACATAAGTCTTCACTGTGCCTATGAATGACCTCACATCCCGCCATGTTAACTTCTGCTAGCGTATAAGGCTATACACCTCTTCTCCTTTGCTATCTATCCATCTATCCATCCATTGATCTGTCCATCCATCCATCCATCCATCCATCCATCCATCCATCCATGCATCTATCTATCTATCTATCTATCTATCTATCTATCTATCTATCTACCTACCTACCTACCTATCATCTATCTGTCTGTCTGTCTGTCTATCTATCTATCTATCTATCTATCTATCTATCTATCTGGCTGGCTGGCTGGCTATCTATCTACCTGTCTATCTGTCTGTCTATCTATATATCTGGCTGGCTATCTATCTATCTGGCTACCTATCTACCTATCATCTTCTCCCTCATTAACAACTATAAAATATTTACTGGTCTTTAGAATATTTGAAAAATTTTTCAGACAAGTAAGTTAACAAATTGAAGTTTATATCTGGTACAAAATATGATGTTTAAAAAAGACATTGTGGCACCCCACATTCTTGCATTGCTCATTTTCTGATTTCTGCCATGGTATAATTCATTTGTTTTTGTTTTTTTTTCTCCTAAACCCATTCCATTTTGCATATGCTAAAGTCCTGAGCATTCCCACAGCCAAGCCGCTGGGAGGCACCCTAGACATGGAGAAACACAACGCTCCTAGGATCTCATTATCTGCCCCCCAAATGACTATCTCGTCTTTGGGTTTTATTCAATAATCAAGTGGGAAATGCTTTTAAAGGCAGTAGTCTTCAGCAGCAGCTTCTTCCTGTTCTAGAATTTAAGCACCCACTTCAGGCACACAGAGCCAACAGCACTCAGTTCTTGTGCCCGTGGGAATCCCACGGGACATCCTTATGCTCTTATGCCCTGGGGTGCGCCTGTAGCTACTTGGAAATTGTGTGCCCTCTAACAGACAGTCCCGGCAGACTGCACAGCTGCACTGCTTCACACCACTGCACATGCAAAGCCAGGTGTAAGGTCTCCAACCCTGAGCTTTCAAACTCATCGGTAAGTGTAGGTGGAAATCTGGGCATATACAGGCAAAGAAACTATCATGAGGAGGGGTTTGTTCTGTTTCCCAGAGACCTGGGCTTTGCTTTGTAACGAAATGGAGAAGCTACAGAACCAGAGGGCCTTGTGGTCGTCACCTTTCGGGAAGTGTCTTCTTGAGGAAGGACCATCCTGGAGTCACCTTGGTGCCCTTTCTGTGGTAGCAAGGGAATCTCTTAAATGGACTTCTTTTTGAGCTCCACAGGCTGTTCGTCACCTGCTGAGTCTTATTTTATCCTCACACAGCCCTCTGATATCAAATCAAGGCCGTGGTCACTTTTCCAGAATGAGGGACACAAACTTAGTGGTATTAATTAAATACCAGGTCTGCACTTGGCTTGGCTGAGGTTTTGTTTGTTTTTATGCTCTGAGAAAGGATTTTGTATATCCCCGGTTATCCTAAAAACTCCATATATAGCTAAGATGACACCCAACTCTTATTTTTCTGCCTCTGCCTGAAAAAAGGTGGGATTGGAGGGGCGTACCGCCCCTCCCAGCCTTGAACGAACGCCTAAATGGTGCACATAGCCTGGAACCCCATCTCTCCTGTGCTTTCTCTGGCATCAGAGTGCACTACCTCTATCAGGTCATGTACACCCTCGACTGGCACATCATACCCATGAAGGAGTGTGCCCGGGCCTGTTGACGCTACCTCTGATCCTCGGTCAGCGAGCACGGGAAATACGGCTGCCAGAGTGGAAAAGCCCTCACCTCTGATATATGAGCCTAACACTTCCATTATCTTTTCCATTTCCAGAAAATGAAGTGTCAACCCCAGCCCCTCCCCCAGAAGGTAAGTAAAACCATCCCCTCACGCGTTTGAGCGGTAAACGCTGAAGTCCATCCCGGCATGATTTGGCTTCCGTGGGTGCCGTGAGCTCTAACCTGTTTCCGACTGAGACACTGGATGACGGTGGGTGTGCTAAACGGATAACAAATAATACAGTGTATTAACATCATTTGAACAGTGCTTCCTATGTATGGTGGGATCACTTCCAAGTCCTTCCATTCTGTGCAAATTGCCGACGGTGTTTTGTCTTGGTGGAGGCAGAGTATTTATGAAGCTTTCCCGGGTCTAGTAGAAGCGTGCGTTTGCATCTTTCTTGTGACTGTGGAAAACGGATCCTATCTCATCCTGACGCCATTAGCTTCTTAACTTTTTCCATGTCGCCATCTGGCCCCTTCACAAGCTCTTTGGGAAATCTGAAAGGTTTGGGACCACTGAGGCACAGCATCAGATGTGATGTATTGAATTGTTAGTATTTTCTGGCCTCCCAGATGCCGGGGGGGGGGGGGGATCACTAAAACTATCCAGTAAAATTCTTGGTAGGTCTACTACAGCCAGAGACACACGGAGTCTGACTTACATAGAAGAGACCTATGGCTTAGGAAAGAGAAGGGAGCTGAGAGGATCTAAACAAGCCCAAATGATGGCTCAAAACTCAGGGTGGACCTCAGGAATCATTGGTGTGCCTGCTCCTGCCAAGACAAAGAAACCAAAATCGTGCGAAGTGCCCCCAAAGCCCTCAACCCAGGCCAAAAACAAAACAAACAAACAAACAAACAAACCCCAAACCTCCTTCTTGTCACCCTTCCTCCTTCAAGAGGCAACTGGGGAGTCGCTTGGGTTATGCAGAACTCCAGGTGTCTCCCTAACCCTGCAGAAGGATCCAGGGCTTCCTTCCAAACACTGGAAAGATAAAACCCACACTGTACCCAACACGGCCTGGAGTTCTAAATAGAAAACGGTTTCCCGTGTTACTGGTGTACAGTCAAACTGAAAATAAAAACAGCCTGCAGAACAATGAGATGAACTTAGCTACTGTACTTGCAGGCTCGCAAGGCTGTAAGAAGGCCTTCCTCGTATGCCAGTTACCTGAGCTGGCAATGTGGTGCGGAGCCAAGGGGTGGGAGAGCACCACGGACTGGTCTTGCCCAGTTCACGTAAAACTGCATAAGACTTCAATTTCTAGTGCTCCTCCCTTCTTTTTGTTTTGCTGGCAATCTGTGAGAGAATTCTGCAGCTTTTCTGTCCTGGGGATAGTGTTTATGAAGGCAGATCCGGGACTCGAGCTCTTCACACAAGCCTCTTTCTCTAACTAGGTCACCAGCCTCACTGAAAACTGAAAGAGAAAGGAATGAAACAGGCTCGAAGCCCTATGAGGTCATCTGGGTAAACCCGGGTCTAGTATTTTTGTAGATGTCTATCCTGAAGCCATTGGAGACTGTGACATTCCTGTTAGGATCGTCTTCCTCCTTGCTATGTTTTCTTCTTGTATGTGAGACTTATTTTGGCCTTCGCTGAGCACACTGAGAACCTAGATAAGCCTTTCCCTTCTGCCTGCAGGTCAGATGCTGGGCTAGGCCACTATAAACTCTGCTTTCCCTCACCTGCCATATTTCATATTTATTAGACAGTGTTGAGCTCCTGGGGCTCCTCTCGGACTTGGCTGAAACAGTCCTTAGTCAGCTGAGATCTGACTCGCTAGTTATAGAAAGAAACAGACAGACAGACAGACAGACAGACAGAGAAGGTAGATGGCAGAACTCATGCTTGAAACAATATTTAATTTTTTTCCTTGTTTGTCTGACTCAGGGTGTCACATACCTCAGGCTGGTCTTGAACTCATGATTGTTTTGCTTCCATGGGATTACAGTGTGTGCCAGCACACCCAGCCACGGATGAAAGTTACTTGACTGTTTTAGGATGTATTTGTGTGGGTATCTGTGTGAATGTACGCACACACGGGTCTAGGCACACCAGAAGAGGAATAGAGTTACAGGTAATTTCAGCCACCTGACGTGGGTGATGGGATCCAATCTTAGGTCTTGGTGTTTGAACAGCAAGTTCTCTTCACTGCTGAGCCGTCCCTCCAGCCCCGACTGTTATTACTGTACACATCATATCTTTTCCTCTCTAATATGGTTCGGAACAGGAAGAAATACAAGGTAGATGACATTGACTGATGAAATTTGATCCCACTGTCCTCATAACACATTTATTGTTACCCAGGCGAATCCAGAAGATTTCTGTGCTTACAAGAACATTTTCAAACTACGTACATGGCACAATTACTTTATGACTCCTTGTAGCCAACAGAAGCTAAGCTATTGAAACCCTTTACATGGGTCAAAGTTCCTTCAAATGTCCCTGGGTGAACTCTAAAATAAAGTAGACTTATTTTAAGTATATTTTAAAGTACATTTAAATTTATTTTTAAAACATAGTATGCTCAGTTCCACTATAGTATGTAATACAACATGGTAGAGGTAGGTGGATTTTTTTTCTTTCTTTCTCTTGTTTTTTCTTCTTATCTTTCTTTATTTTATTTTTGGTTTGTTTATTGAGAAAGGGTTTCTCTGTGTAGTCCGAGCAGCCCTGAAGCTTGATATATAGAGCAGGCTGTCCGTAAATTCCCAGACCCTCTGCCTCCCGAGCGCTGGGATGAAAAGAGTGTGCCATAGCCAATCGGCAGTGGCGCACACCTTTAATCCCAGCACTTGGGAGGCAGAGACAGACAGATCTCTGTAACTTCGAGGCCAACCTGGTCTACAGAGTGAGTTCCAGGACAGGCTCCAAAGCTCCAGAGAAACCCTGTCTCAAAAAACAAACAAACAAAAAGAATGTGCCACCATACCCAGCCCTGTGTTAACTATATTTTAACAAAATGTGTATTGCATGTTTTTAGATATTCTTTTTAAACAATCACATTTATTAACTGCTTTGATTAAAGGTTAAAGCGACTCTAAACTATACTCCCCAAATTCCTGATTAATATGCAGATAATGAGTTTGTAGCGTCATTAACATCATGTTTCCTTCCTCTCCCTCTGCTCATCGCCCAATAAAGTGCTGTAAGACACTTGTAAAAATGTGCTTGTACTTTCCACACAGAACCAAATAAAGAGAAAGAGGCGGGAACTACGCCAGCAAAAGGTGAGTTGGAGGGAGGGAAAGCGAGACTGAGTTCAGCAGGGTCAGGGCAGGAACCAGCCTGGAGTGGGTGAGCTGGCTGGGTTTCAGGCCCACGGAGGAAGCTGAGTAAAGTTGTTTGATCTAGTTTGCTTCAGCTGGGAAAATCAGCTGACTTAGCCAGAGGTTTCAAAAATTTGCCAGTTTTGACTTGTTACATAACTCACCGTACAACAGAGGACAGTCTGTTGACCCATGAAGACCAGCCCCTCATGGTACCTCAGGGGACACAGTCTGTAGATACACTGATTTGTAGACACTGACATTATACATTAGGCAGACATCATGCAGCTGCTTACTGAGTTGGACTCTCACTCACTGGTATAATATTGACTTCTGTTTTGCACTTGGGAGAAATACTACAGTTTTGGGAAAGATGTAATCATTATTGTGTGTGTCACCATGGTTGAAGGTGTTATCATCACTGCCCATCTTTTCTTAGGCTAAGGAGTAAGAGCCTTGGCCTGAGAGAGAAAAGTTTTCATGGAAGCTGACGGACAGCTTTGCCTTACACGTTTACACGATCATTTTTACACTAACATTTATTTGAGTCATGAATCATCTAGTTTAAATTTCAGAGTAATTATTTTCTTATTGCAATAAGAAGATGCTTTTCATTCCTGGACACAGCTCAAAGCACGTTAATTTTCTGTTTGTTCCTTGTATGTCATATATGATTTCCTAATTCCTGTGCTACTGTCTCCTACACTAAAATCTTTATTTCTGTCCTTCCGTATACTGGACTTGCCTCAGATAACTCAGACCTACTCTCTTGTAAATGAAGGCACGGTGTTAGCATATTACACTTTGTCCTGACCTTCAGGAGTGCCCGTGGACAGTACCGCAGATGCTAATCCTGGCTACGTGGCCATCGTTCAAGGCTATTTTCTTACAGAATGCAGACAGTGCAAACGCCTAAACTTCTTTCCATGATACGGGTTCAAGGAGGCTTGAACATCCTGGCTGCGGTCATTGTAACATTATTCTCAACAAGACCAGTGGAGTATAATACCTCTGCTTCCAAGTTTGGAAAGGGGCTTGAGCTGACCTGCGGGGCTTAACCAACAGGACAGGTGATGTAATCCCAGAAGGCAAGCTGTCATGCTTTCAACAAAGCACGGGCTCGACCCTCAGTCTGCAAAGGTCATCCTACTCTGTTTCTATGCTTAAGTAAGTTTTCTGTACACTAAAAGCAGCCAATCACCAACACTTCCTTATAGAAAACAAGTGTGATGACAGAAACAAGGCCAGGGGATGAGATCCCCTAAAATTAGTAGCTTTTCTCCCCTCTTCTATTTGTAGACGCAGCTACCTACAGTCACATGCCTGGGTTCAGAACCTGCTGGGCATGTTGGTTTTCTTTGAGTCATTCTTCATACTTGGCAAGCAAGTTGATTTAGTATAAAAAGTGATATCCCTATATAAGGAAGCTAGGTAAATGGTTCTATTTTGGTTTCTATCTGTGTAGTCCTTTTCATTGGTCATCCATTCTCATCCAGGACAGGGAGATTTCAAAGAATATAGCTAAGCAAAAAGGTATAATAAGAAAGAGTTACCGTGTGGGCTGAATGGTGTTAATGGTTGCCACACTTTCTCCTAGGATTAACTAGAATGTCTTCTTCTGCTCACTCTTATTTAATTTTTTTTTTTTAACTCTCCGATTCTGGTTCCAGACCTTTGACAGCTTACCCTGGCCATCTGGTTCACTTCCACCTCCTCTTCTTCCCCTGATTTTTCTTGGACCCATTGTCCCTGTCATTCACGGTTGTCTCCTCTTAGCTTTTCCATGATCAGGCACGGGGTCTTAGCACCTCATTGGTCTCCTCATCTCGTTCCCTCCACCATCTGGCACAGAACCTTACAGGACAACCTTCCAATGAATGCTTGCAGGAGGAATCAACAATTGAATCTCCATGCAGTCTTGCCTGCTGACCCTAGCGACAGTGATGATCCGGGTACTTTTATCCCTACATTCTCCTCACTCGCTGGGCAAGATGCCTACTCAGAGTTAGTGAGGGTAGCGTAGAACAGCTTGCCCGAAGCCTTTGAATGTGACCACACCTGGAAATTAGTTCTGAACTTATCCTGGCATCTTTTACTACTGTGCACTCTAGTCCTCTGTCTAGTTAAAATATCTTCAATAGATAAGCTCTTAGGCTATCACTGTGAACAGTGCATTGCTGTCCTGGAAAGACGGCCCTATAGGTAAGAGTGCTGACTGCTCTTCCAGGAGGACCCAGGTGAAACACTTAGCGCCCAGGTGGCAGTTCAGAGCCATGTGTCACTGCAGGCTCTTCTGTCCTCTGTGACACTGCCCACATGTGGTTCAGGCGTAACGTCCACATAGATAAATTTAAAAACAGAGAAAAATGTTTTAAGAAAGAATATTTTTAACTGGATTTACTCTGGGATGACCTCGATATTTTCTGGGGGGAAAAAAACCTCGTTTTTGTAGCCAAGGAGAGTTATTCGGTTCAGGTATCAACCTCGTAATTAGGGTGTTGGCTATATCTGCCAACTTCTTCAGACATGTTAGGAGCTTCGGAGTCATTCATGGTAATGCACACCTACAATCCTCGCACCTGAGGAGTTGAGGCAGGAAGAATGAGTTTGAAGCCAGCCAAGACTACAAAGCAAGACCCTATTTAAAAAAAAAAAATTCTTTTTTTAGTACCCTGTTAGTTCAATGTGTGTGTGTGTTTACATATATATGTGTATATATTCACACATATATGTATACACATGTATGTATATATGTGTGTATATATGTACACCTATATGTGTAAATATATTTATTGCATATATGTGTGTGTGTGTGATAGGCTTAGTTGAAAGAATTACTGTGCCTTTTGATTGTTTTTTTTTCAGAGAAATAATTGCTTTTTGTGGTTGCTGCAAGGAAAATAAAACCTTATTTACTCTTCCCAGGGTTTTGCATCACCACATAAACCATCTCACACGAAACCACCCACGCTTCTCAAATGTCTCACAGGACCTAAGCTGGAGTCTCCTCCTCCTGACCCGGCTGTGGCTGGTGGATGAGGAAGTACATCAGCAGACCTTCCGACCTGTCTTTAAAGAGTCATTAACTCATTTTCTTCACCTAGGTCCCTTTGTGATGCTATCGGGAGCTTGTTACTCGCACACTTAAACGAGTTTCAGCCGTTTGCCTTTAGATGCCAATCAATCAGTCACCCGCTGAGATGCCTCTTGCTGACTTTTCCTTTTCTTTTGCTGTGTGTTCTAGTGTCCCTGCTTTACAGTAATGAACTTAGCTGAAAACTCACATCATTGTATTTTCCAGTTCTGAGACAGAGCTAGAAGATAGAACGTTGGCTTAACAGGTTCGGAGGAGTGGAAGAAACTCATTACATAGACATATTTAAAATAAAATGAATATTGATTTTTGTAAACATCAAAACATGAAGGCATGTGTCATTTTAAAAAGGGTTAAGTTAATAAAAATGACACAAAAATGATGAGTTAATGTTAGCTGTTGTTGCTGTCTTCTGATACTTTGTTGTTGCTGTTATGCTTTGGATATTTTAATATTTTTTACATGATTGCCCTGCTTGAGATCTTCATTAGTTTGCCCAAATCAGACAAGATATTATATCAGTATTTAACTGGTGTTTGTTGTGAACCAGGTATATCTCATATGCTTTTTGTCTCCTTTCTAAAGTCTCAGCATTTGTCTGAGGTTTACATTGCTTAAGTTATTAATCTTTACATTAGCAGGCCAATAAAAACCAGCTATGGGAAAGCCAAGCAGAGTGGCCCTCATCTTTAATCCCGGTGCATAGGAGGCAGAGGCAGGTGGATCACTTTGAGTTCAAAGCCAGCCAGGTAGAAATAACTGCATACCCAACAGAGCCTAGAAGGCTGAAAACCCTCTGTAAGGGATCTGCGGTGGTTGTGGTCAGGGCTCATACGTGACCCAGAGGACTCGTGTACCTCACTGAGATTCCAGGCTGTGTGTGTGGCTGCATTCTCTCACTCCTCTGACTTCTTCCCTGAAAACTAAAGATTTTTAGCCATAATTTTCATGGCTGTTTTTCCATGGCCTAGAGACAAGCAAGGTTTGCTGTTGTTTTTATCTAAGTTGTTCTATTACCAATAAAGACTCAGAAGTCGGGTATTGATATTGAGCTGAAAACCCAATAAGATGAAAGAAGCAGCCAGTTGATTTTTTTGCCTTTTTTTTCATTTTTTATTGATTTTATTGAGCTATACATTTTTCTCTGCTCCCCTCCCTGCTTCTCTCCTCCCCTTCAGCCCTCTCCCAAGGTCCCCATGCCCCCAATTTACTCAGGAGATCTTGTCTTTTTCAACTTCCCATGTAGATTAGATCTATGCATGTCTCTCTTAGTGTCTTCATTGTTGTCTAAGTTCTTTGGGATTGTGGTTTGTAGGCTGGTTTTCTTTGCTCTATGTTTAAAAACCACTTATGAGTGAGTACTTGTGATAATTGTCTTTCTGGATCTGAATTACCTTACTCAGTATGATGTTTTCTAGATCCATCCATTTGCTTGCAAATTTTAAGATATCTTTTTTTTTTTTCCTGCTGTGTGGCACTCCATCGTGTAAATGTACCACATTTTCCTTATCCATTCTTCAGTCAAGGGACATTTAGGTTGTTTCCAGGTTCTGGCTATGACAAACAAAGCTGCTATGAACATAGGTAAACACATGTTCTTGTAGCACGATTGAGCATCCTTTGGGTATATACCCCAAAAGTGGTACTGCTGGGTCTTGAGGATTTTTTCCTAGAGCCGCAGCAAGAGCAGCGTTTCTCCACATGTTCCAGACAAAAAAAAAAAAAAAAAAAAAAAAAAAAAAAAAAAAAAAAATCCCCCAGGAATCTCTAAGTCCCTCCCTCTTCCTTTCTATATGCCTCTCTATCCATATTCCTAGCTTCTCTGTCCTCTCCATAACTAATTTCTGTCAACTAGTTACTGGCTCTTCCCCCATCCAAGGTTAATTTTATTAACAGTCTCAGAGTTTCACAGGACAACCAAATATCCTGCAACAGTGTGTTTTGCTAAATTACCCTTCTGTGCAGTTAGGGGATGTAGCCTGCTGCCCGCAGATGCTGTCTCCAAGTGTCTTGCATTCTAGTAATCCCAAACGGAAATGGTAGACTCTTCATCAGCGTTGTAGCCTCTTAGAAGCAGAGAGAGGGGCAGTGTGACGCCCGTACTACACTGGCTATTTTTGTCTCTTTATTTTTGAGATTCTTTTTTTTTTTTTTTTTTTAAAAAGGTGTTAAATGTCACAGAACCTAAAAGGTTCACATAGTTTCCTCCTGGCAACAGAATCTGCATTTCATGGTAGATAAGAAAATTTTAAACTTTTTTTCTTCTTCACCCAATTCAATTGAATTCAACTAAGACGGTGTTGGAGAGTTTGAGGTCAGATTTTCGTAACCTGACTTTGAAATAGTAACACCGTGGGTCTCTATGCTCCGTGTTATAATATTTTGTTTGAAGAAGTTGTACGAAACATCTCTGGTTGAAAGTAGTGTAAAATTACTGAAATAATATTTGTTGTAAATATTCAAATAGATCATATGAAAGCCTACCTTTTCCGTAATTTTTAAACTACTTTTACAAAACATGCTATGCACACGGACCTTCTGTATCATACATGTGAAGTCACATAAGGGCCTATTTTGATAGGTGTAAAATGTGTATTGTTCACTCAAACCTTAGCCTGCATGCTTTGGGAAGGAAGGGTTGGGGTTTCCAGCACTGTCTGCTGCCTCTTTAAGCACACAGAGCGCGCATGTTGCTACACAGGTGGGGTCGGGAAGGGGCCCTTCCGTGCCTCTGAGCCTAAGCCCTCCACAACATATTGCGGAGCTCATCAATTTAAGATTGAGTAAATCTTAAATGACGTAACACTGGAAGTTCCAATACAACCACGGGGAAATAGCTGTAAAGTTCTTACAGTGATTATCGCTGAACTTAACAAAACGGACTAATTCATAGCCATCAACTTGAGTTCCGACTTCTTAAATATGGAAGGGAAACTTGGGGGTTAGCCCGGTGGAAACAAGTTCTCAAACAGTTTCCGGAAGCTGTGTGTCAGTGTCTCACTGAATATGGCATATGGATAACTTCCGACACCGATTCCAGCTATGAAAAGCAAACCTGGAAACCCCCTCTATCATTTTCCCACCGACTTACGGTCACAGAAACTCTGGCACCGTTTCATTTTTTTCAAAACTATGTTTTCATTTGAATTACCCAGCGCTCACCAGTATTCTCCTTCTGTTCGGTTTGGGGTTTCGCCTGTTCTCTTAAAGTTTGCCTGCAGGTGCAAGGTCTCCTACGGCTTCACTCAGCAACTGAAAAGGCTGTGAAGCCTCTCTCTTCTTTTCCAGATCCCTCTCCCCCAGGTCATCCGGATGAAGTTCTTTCTTCCTTGACTTTTTCCTCCTGTTTCTTGTTTCAGAGGAAGATGAGGCCTCTCCGCCGAGTGCCCTGCCTCCAGGTTAGGACCATTCCCTGGCCCAGCTTCTGCCTCCTCATCACTCCATTGTCCCACTGTAGAAGCAAAGAGTCGGGGAAGCGAGAGGGGAAATCGTTGTCTTAGATGATGATTTCCAAGAGAAACTTCTGAAAAGGAAGATTTCCTAGCCAGGTGTGGTGGTACACACCCACTCTCCCAGTAGTGGGGAGGCTGAAGCAGGAGAACTCTCAAGACCAGGCTATCTTGGGCTACAGAGTAAGTTCAAGGCCAGCCTGAGTTACTTGGTGAGGCATTGTCTTAAAAAAAGAAAAAAAGGAAAAGAAAAACCCTGGACGTGGATGAGTTCAGGGATGAAAATGTTCGTCATCCGTTTTCATCTATGTATCCCGCCACTCCCACCCTGATAGTTTTCTTGCTTTGTAACAAAAAGAGATAGGGTTTGGGGTACCCCAAGAAGGTTGTAGTCACCCCACTTCCCTCCTTCCTATGCTCGCCTGCATCCTCCAAATCATGCTTTCCTTGCAGGTTTGGGTAGTCGGGCCCTGGAGAGAAAAGATTCAGGTGAGCGAATGCATCGGGACCCCAAGCTTCACAGCACTAATGACTGTCTCCTGAAGCCCTCTTCATCCTAATCCTTGTTTTATTTGGTTCGCAGCTTTGACAGCAACCTTTGGTCCCATATCCCAGTACAAAAAAGACTAATGCATTGAGAAACAATTAATTTTGCATGATACAAATGCACACATCCAGGAATCCAGGCGCACACACCGTACACTTACTTGCTTTACTTCCTAATATCATTTTTAACATTCAGCAAACAGAGATCAGTCTCCACGCCTGGGATATGCCCAAGTTATAATTCACGTCCGTACATAATTTTAAACACAATTGCTAGACACATTTCCAGACACTGTCAGCTGTATCAGCAATTCTGAAGCTGTTTGATCACTCATTCATTCAACATCTGTATGCCGTGGGCCTAACCTGGTCCATCACTCGCTACTTAAGGGCCAGTCAGTGGCATAGGCACTGCGGGCATAGGAATGAACAAAACAATAAAAATTCTTGTCCTCGTACCCTCCACGCAAGCGGTGGCCACTCCCGACTATCGTTGATAGCACGGACACAACATCACCTTTCACCCAATAACTTGGGAGTTAAGAATGCGCATTCAAGAGAGTACTCGTCTTAGCTTCATCGCGGGCAGAATTTTTACTACTGAGCATGACTGACACTCGAAAACTAAAATGATTAAACGTGTCCCTTCCTTCTTTTCATGAGCGTTAACAAGCGGAGTTGTTGACCCGTGCCTTTTCCCCCAGTGATCAAGGGCGTTGGTTCAGAGAGGGCTCGGAGACCCCTCCCCCTGCCCCCGCCCGCCCCTTCCTTCACCTGTGGTTGACTGCTGATGGGTGTTAACCCTGCACCCCCTTTCAGACTAGGAAATACAGAAGTGCTTCCTTTTCAGCTTGTCTCTCTTTATGGGAAAGCTTCGACCAGTCCTCTCTCTGTTTCTGTTTTTGTTTTTCCTTCCTTGCAGGACAATTGCACTATTACTTAAATTTGTACCTGCAGGTCATGACCCTTTTACCTACCTCTCTGTAGACTTTCCCACTGAACACAGCAAGGAACCTACGCTGGGCAGTTTACCCTCAAAGAGACCCTCATTTTTAGCTTCTCCAGATTCTGTTGTATGGATTTGGCCTTAGAGTCAGTCTCCTGGAAAGACACCAAGACTGCTGTGTGAATCTCTAATGGCCACCGTGTAGATGATGGGGAACAGGCAGAACACCAAAACAGTTAACTCACCCCACAAGTTTCACTGTTCCAGGAATTAGACAATGTCCCTTGGCCGTGGAAGATCTGTCCCTGTAAGGATGGAGATCTCTCCCTCCCTTCTGGCGGTGGGTGGGACAAGAGAATGTCGTCATTTTGATCTAGGTTTATTAGGCGAGAGCAAGAATCAGTAGGAGGAGAACAGCAAACACAGGTAAGCCAGCCTGTGGAGAACCTGGCCCTGAGATGATCCGTGTCCTCCTTTCCGCTTCCAGAATGGTCTCTGGGAGAGTCACCCGCTGGCGGAGAGGAGCAGGACAAACAGAATGCCAACTCGCAGCTGTCCACCCTGTTTGTTGAAAAACCTCAGACAGGATCAGTGAAAGTTGGTGAGTATCGGCCCAGGAATCCTTTCCCTTTGCACAGATCACAAAATGAATCATTTTAAATTGAGATTTTCAGTAGCCACGAAAACATGCATCATATCCATGTCGTTCCACAATATTTTCATTGCAGATCTTATACCCCGTTTCTCCGCTCCCTTGTCCTGACTTTGTTTCTATGGATCTACCCACCCTGTCTATTTATACAAATGGAATAATTACACAACACATGGTCTGCTGCCTTAGGAGTCTTGTGATCAGCAATAACATGTTTGAGGTCCACTCTTGTAGTATCAGCATTCCTTTTTATGAGTGAGCAATGATATATTGTACCCAAATGCTACACCATGGATTTTATAACCCCAAAGATGGGTGATGGTTATTTTAGTAGCTGTTAGTACACAGGAGTCCAGCGTCAGAACCCAAGGCCCAATTTGGTTGGGTCTAAAAGGTTGGTTCTGCTTCTTGCTAATAAGACAGACTCTTTAGCCTCTTTCCACCTCAGTTTCTTCTTGTGTGAAATGAGAATAAATCACAGAGTACTTGTGTGAAGTACTCTGACCCAGCTCTGAAGACTGGGGCCTGCTGTCACCCTATCGGGGGCTTAGGGCACTCTCAAGTCTGTACATGTGATAGATAAACTATGTCGTGTGTCGCAGGGGCAGCTGATCAGACAGATGGTAAAGATTGAAAATAGTTATTCAAAAATCTTTATTACATGCTACCTGGTTGTGCTGGATAGAGTATACCATACGAATCCATGTAAGTTATAGTCTAAAGACAGGACCAGACAAGAGAAGTTAACCAGATAACCACAAAAGCTACAAAGGAATTAAACGGAGAGCCAAGACTGAGAAGAACTTAGGACCTCCGGGGTATTAAGTCAGCAAATTCTCATGATCAGAATCAGACTTGGGTGTTGACTAGATATTATACAAACAAACACATGCCTAACTATCTCCTAGAGTTTCTTCTTTCAGGCTTAGCGTACAAGTAGAAATGTTGGCTCCTTGTAGGTTCTTGTAAGACACTGAGACACCAGGCCAGTGGCCAGACTGCTTCTGATGTCCCCAGGGCCTAATCAGTGACTACATAGTCATTTCAAGTCACTTCAAAGAGAGCAGTTTAACATACTCATACCCCTGTAATTATAGGCATCCCATCATATTGAATAATAAAGATATGTATTTCTTTTGTGGGTTTTTTTATTCCACATAAATGTAAGTTCACAAATAGATATTTCTTTCCACCAATATTTTCATTGCTTTTTTTCGGATTCAAAGTTTCCAAATGGGCTGGGATGTGGTTCAATGGCAGAGTACGTATTTAGAATGCACAAGGCCCCAGGGTTCAGATAAATATATATACATACATATATATATTTGTACATATTTATTAGTGTGCTATCTAAATATATGTGTGTATATAAACATATAATATACAATAGTGTATTATATAATATCTATAAATATATATTACTAAGTAAAAGATATATATAGAGAGATACATACAGACATACATACACATGCATACACAGAAACTTCCAAAGCAGATCAGATGGACTTCCCTAAGACTTCTAGGACACTCATCACAGAGCAGGGCCCATCCATTGTGCCATCACGACACGGTAAGCCAGGTTCTACACTGTACAGACCTGCACCGACTCCCTTCTGCAGAAAACAAGACAAACGACAGTTTCTAAATCCCAGGTTAACCCCTTTGTGCTTTTTCTAGGTGCCAACATCACCTTCATAGCCAAAGTCAAGGCGGAAGATCTTCTCCGAAAGCCCACGATCAAATGGTTCAAGGGGAAATGGATGGACTTGGCCAGCAAAGCTGGGAAGCACCTGCAGCTGAAGGAGACCTTCGAGAGGCAAACTCGGGTACGGCCTGAACCCCTGGCTCACCCTCCTGCGGGGAGTAGAAAGCTGCTCCAGACTGCTGCCCGTTTATCCCTCCCTAGGGAGTCTGTTCATCCCAGATAACTGAGACAGTGACATCAAAGTTCACCAGCTTGGCGAACCAACAAACGCACTGGGGTTATCTCTAGGAGCCTGTGTAAGGTGTATTCCTACAGCAGCATGGGGAAATCAGGGGCTACAGCAAGAAAAGCCTCACCCCAGCGTGGGTGATGGTTCCGGAAGCTGGATCACCCATCTTCAGTGCAACTTAACTGACAGCTAGGCCTGAAGATCGTCCTCTCCTTAGTAATTCTTTACTGTTTGTGTAAGCACGGGAGGGGCCTTGCGCGTCTCCACACTCCCTCCACGAGGGAACATTAAGAAGGCTTCATCTTGTGATTGTCTCATGCTGGTGCTTGGCAGCTAGTCTGGTTCGCAATGGCAGGAAATAGCCCACACGACACAAGTTTGTTTTGAGAGATTTTAGTCCCTCTGGGTTATCGTTCCTACATCTGCACTCTTTCACAATTGTCTCGCTGTGTCTAGAAGCCGTGGGCACACTCACCTTTCTAGACCTAGACCTAGTGGATATAGATTCTCTTTTCTCCTTACACCAATACTGAGACATCTATTCAGTAACTGGAAGGCGAGCACCTGTCTCTGTCACAAAGGTCAGCCCGCAGAATGTCTGGATGCTTTTCGTTGCAGATATACACATTCGAGATGCAGATTATCAAGGCCAAGGAGAACTACGCAGGAAATTACCGGTGTGAGGTCACCTACAAGGACAAATTTGACAGCTGTTCCTTTGATCTCGAAGTGCACGGTAAGAGAACCATCTCACCTGGATAAATGTGGATTTGTACGGGTGGAAAGGGGTGGAGAAGAAATTTATGTAAGGCTATCAGATTTGTGTGATTTAATTTGCGTTTTGCTTTGTTTTCAAGGCAGGGTTTCTCTGTGTAGTCTGACTATCCTGAAACTCATTCTGTAGACTAGGCTGACCTCAAATTCACAGAGATGCCTCTGCCTCTGCCTCTGCCTCTGCCTCTGCCTCTGCCTCTGCCTCTGCCTCTGCCTCTGCCTCTGCCTCTGCCTCTGCCTCTGCCTCTGCCTCT